TTTCCCCTGGGCGAAATTTATCTATAATGGCTTGTTTTAGATGAGCCCTATTCCAGCATTGTCCAAAGGAAATTGCCAGAAAATGACCTGTGCAATCATGAACGGTGTTTTATGGTTTCTTGATTCAACTGACCACGTGGGATGTTGAGAGAACACGAAAGGATCAAGAGGTCGTAGATCGCGATCGGGAACTCGAGGTGAATAAATTATCAACAAGCTTAACGAATGTAGTTCACGAAAATAAAGTTGTACGTCCTTGATTTAAATTTCAGACGCTAAATGGTCCCGTTGGAGTTCTTGGAGTGACTGTACGAGAACCTGTGGTAACGGCACTCGTTTCCGTACAAGAAAATGTGAGGCTCAAAATCAACGCGAAGTTTTTGCTCCTATCTTTTGTGCTGGAAAAAGTTACCAGAACAAGACTTGTGCGAACTGGGGCTGTCCAGGTAGTTAATCATAATAGTGATTCTTTGTCTTTGAGTTGCTCAGTTCACATAGCTTTAAATCCACTCCCCTAGCTATCCGCCTAACAGGAGGTCAAATCGGTACAGGAGAATTCCTGGCAGATGAAATGCTTGGGATAATCTGTGATGTTCTAGCACACCATCTGTACTCAGTAGTAAAACTCGATGCTCGTATGCTCTTGTTCCTGTAGCTGACTTTTAACTTTTGCCATTTGATTTTTAGATTGCAACAAAGTATGCGTTAAAGGAACATTGAATGCAAAATGTGATGCTTGCACATGTGAAAATCACGTGCTCACGGGTCGTGTTCAGGCCAAGAACAAGGCACCACTTTCTGAAGCTGAAATCTCATTGGCGGAGACACCGTACAATGTGTTGGCGCGAACAAATGCGACTGGTTTCTTCACAGCCTTTAATGTCTGTGCAGATGTGAATCAAGAGCTGCTCATTGCAAAGAAAGGTTTTGTTCCTGTGAACGTTAAGGCCACTATATTGACATCAACAACTGCAAACGTCAAAGTTACACTAGAGAATGCAGGTACGTAGTGGAAAAGAATCAATTTACTGGTAAATGTTCTGTCCAATTATTGCTAAAGGGAGGGGGCTCAGAGAAAGTGGCAGCGTGAAGCCGAAATTTGAAGGGGATAAGTCATTGTCTTTTAGCTAAATCGATTATTTTGTTTAGTTATCATCCTCATTGCATTTGCCACACAATAGAAAGAGAACAACATGCATAATTAAAAAAAAATTGATAGGCTGAGGAAACCACCACGCTTAAAGCGTGGCCAACTCATTCGTTATTTTAATTATACGCTGTAAACGCAGTTCAAATTGGCAGAGCAACAGTCTTTTAAAGGTAAAATCACTGTCATATCACAAACAAGGATGTTGATGGAACTTTCATACAAAAAAAGGTAAACTTGAAAAACGTCGCGCAAGTTTATCTTAATGCAATCTGGTTTCATCTTCAACAATTTTGTCCATCCATGCCCCCTTTAGGCTTTCCATGTTTAAATTTCATTGGAGTTTTTCTATGGTTTACGCCGTTATTGTGACCAGTTCATGAGCTCTATGATTGTCTAAAATTCCATTTTTTTACGACAAAATAAAATTGATAAAAGACTTCTTGAAAATTTAGCGGTTGATCAGTGTTATTTTATATTCTGAGGTTATGGGAGAGTTTGACAGTCCCCTCCTTCAGACGACTTGCCGGACATTTTTCAAGTTTATCTCGATTTGTTTGGTATAATAGATGAGATCTAATGGCCACTAGGCGAATCAAAATTATGGAAAGTAATTGCATGTCCGATGCCCAGGCAGGTTTTAGAAATACTAGATAAAACGTAATAGAGATATGTCCTTACCATCTTTTACAGTGCCGCCATCCATAACTGTCCAACCTCGCAGCAAGATGAGAATCTCTGGTCATGGTGTAACTTTTTGCTGTGATGGAGGAGGAAACCCTACCCCGGAGTTCGAGTGATAAGGCGGAGTGTGATCGTCTGGGTGGGCGTAATTCTGATTAGACCGACAGCTATTAGTGACTCTCGACAACGTGAGCGGAAGTCATCTCCCGAGTCAAGTGAAAAGTGTTTGTTGGACGATGGTGTTATACATGTGTGTCGTTGGTCAGTTTAACCATGGTGGTATTGTTTGTAAGACTCGAGTAAAGTTTCTCAGCAGTCATTAGTCAGTTCCAGTAAGTTTCAATCCGTCTATTTTTAGTCAAATTAAGTCGTTCCATTTGAGGTCCATCCGTCGGCCTTGATCATGTTGTGAATGAATCGTTTGCAAGGTGCCGGTAGTTGTTGATTTGCGTTTGTTATTAGTGGGTTTACCATCTTTCTAGTTAAGCAATATCTGTTTCCGCTTTGTTTACTTAGACATAAAGGAAACCTTTGGAAACTTAAGAGCACGATTCCAAGGCTACAAACCTGCACTTCGAATGACGGTCCTTACGTATCGTCCGGTCCTTCTTTTTCATGAAACACGAAACGCCTAAGACAGAACCGTTTTATTCAGCCTCGTTCCTTTCTGAACGAGGTTGCGTTTTATTTTCGATAAATGTGAATCTAGATTCCCGTTTGCCACCATTTCGATAAGTCTGAGCCGAAATAGGTAGATAGTTAGATATATTCGTTGTCAGCTAATGGAATACACTCCCTTTGTCGAAATCTCTTGATTTAGGACGTAAATATATGTTTGTGACTCTTTAGGTTTAAAGACAACAACGTCATCGACAAGGACGTTTACCATTACAATAAGACGCTGAAAATTTCTGATGTGAGCGGTCTTATGGGAGGATATCGATGTAGAGTGGTGAATGACTATGGATCAGAATTTTCCGATGTCGCTAATTTACAAGTGTTCAGTGAGTACAAACTGATCGGCAATAATTAGTTTTGGGAGGATGTAAATGAGGCCACAAATTTAATTGTTGACTGTTCCCTCCTCCTATCATCCGGGCCGTCATTGACGATTTTATAATCAAACCAATGTCGAATCACTGGTGAACAAGTTAGCTCACCCATCTTTTTATATAACAGGTCATCATAGCAACAGTGTAGTCTGTCAAAACACCCTTTAAAACCTCTTAGTTAGCGGGTGTCAAGAAAGTGGCATTAGGCTGGTTTAGAAGAAATCCAACTTTAAAAAAAGGTTTAAGCTAGAAGACATTTGGATATTTAACAGTCTAGTTTAGTGAGTGACGGACCTTATTCCCGTTTGAATCATATAGATACAAGCGAGGAGATCTCATGTAATCCGACGCCCATCACCAAAAACACCACACTCCCGGCGGGCTGTGTAGTACTTGGCACAACAAATAACGTAGTTGATGTAGGGCAATGTCTACCGAGACCGTGCCTGCGAAATGACTCCGCCCTTTCAAACACAGCGTGTCACGATGAGACGTTTTGTTGTGTGGCAGAGGCGGAAAAAGAGGTCACTATAAGTTGTGGCGGCGCTGCAACATTTAACATCTCTAAGGTGTCTCGTTGTGGATGCCAAGAATGCGAGCCGCCCAAATCGTATATCACTGGGGTAGTCGTCGGCATCAAGGGGGCTGTTGAAAAACCGATTACGTACTGCGAAATTAAGATCGGAGATAAATACTACAACGCAGATGACAAGGGAGCCTTCAAGTTTGAAGTTCCTGAAGATAAGCAACGGTTATCTGCAGTTTTCAAGGACACATATGACAGAGAATACGCCGACTTCACGAAAGTATTTCGCATTGTTCAAGGACAATCCTTGTTTTCCAAAATTGTTTTGCGAGTCAAACCAACACCAAAACCGTTTAACTCGTCTGAGCCGTTTAAAGTTCCAATGGGTGATGGTGGGGACGGTTCGGCTTTCGCAGAGATTGAAATACCCGAGGATGCGTTGTTAAAAGACGACGGGACAATTTTTACCGGCCAGGCAAACCTTAGAATGACTGTAACGGACCCTCGTAACGCGACGGATGTTACGACAGCGCCGGCGGACTTTTCCACCATCAGCGAGGATGGAGAAGAACAGATTTTAGTGAGTTACGGAATGCTTAGTCTTGACTTTGAAGATGACAGTGGAAATAAGTTGTCCACGTCGAAGGCCATCAAATTGTTTCTAGATCCTGAAAAGCTTAACATTTCAGTTGACAGCAATGGGAACACCTTAACAAAGCTGTGGTGGTTGGACGAAAACACAGGGAGATGGATGGAGGCTGGAGATCTGTGGCTGGATACAAAAGAAACTAACAGAAGCAGACGAAGCCCTACCCGCTTCCTGTTAACTGAAATCACACCAGTTGTACAGAGGCAAGGACCAATGAATATCGACGTTAGAGAAAACTTCGGAGCAGTTCGAGTGGCTGCTCCACCTGGCTCTACCGTCAGAATCCTATGTAAGGAGCCTAATACAAGCGGCGATCAATATGCTGGCTATTTGGAAGGGGCTGTTGATGCTAGCAGCGTTACCTGTATATCTGTGTGGATCGATAGAGAGTGCTTTATGCAAGGGGAGAGCAGTGATGCACGATTCTTAGTTCCATCCGTCCCGGATTCTTTTCCTCCCTCCGTGTCGGCCCTCATTATTGGAACTCAGCTACAAAGTGTTGGTTCGTCGGCTACAGTGCAATCGTTCAGTTTTGATGTAAGAACGGACAGTAATGGTCCAGTGTATCCTCATTTCGATAGCGACGTTCAAAATTGTCGTGCTCCTCAGCTGATGAATGGGCACAGACAATTTCAATTTACAGCCCCTCCGTCCACGAGTCTTGACTTGACTAGTAACCGTCCTAACAGGCCAAATTTTAGAGACCCACTCAACTGGTTTCCTACAAATACGAATTGCTTTATCAAAATAGTAACAACAGGCAAGGGATCTACTTTTCTAGCTTCCAGCTACAGAGCAAACAGAAAGGATATTGCAAACAAGTTTGGTGATTCCGTCGCAATGGCCAATCCAGCCACGGATGCGGAGAATACTTTCGTAGCGTGCCTTGATGTTCGATGTCCGGGAAACGTATATCAGTCGGAGACAAATAGCCAGGTCCCAGAATGGACATACGTGTTAGTTACTCACTTAACAGGGACTTGCGACTTTCAGACACATAACTTGCAACAACAGAACAACATTGATAACAGGGGAACCAATTGTCCGGCATCTCGATCTAAGCGCCACGCTTCTGGCTCGGAAAACTGGTTTTGTATTCCACTCCCGGCTACTGGCAGCTTCGACATTGATAATCTGTACACATCTCCAAGAAATGACAGACAAAGGGGTGTGAGCCGATGTAACACCGGGAACAACCAGTGGCAATCAGGACCCTCCAATCCCTCCAGCACGTCACCTACCATCGTTTTCAGTTGCAGGTAAGAGCCGAAAAATAAATTAATGATGAGTATAGAATGGGCCATAATCACAGTGATTCCAATCAAGAATGCTTCTTTATTCCACGTTCGTGATGAGCATTTAGTTAATCTTTCTCGTTCTCCCGATATTGCAAAACAGCAAAACACTCTCCCTTACTTCCTTTCTATATTAGTTGTTTAGTTGTGGTGTTTGAGTAGGATTTTCAGAGAGTTTTATCATCAAACTGTTTTCCGAAACAATGAAGCACACCGTCCTGTCATAATCGTTTTAAAACGGTCTACATGCACACTACATGTCCATTGTTT